GTCAATTAGCCTTTTGCACTAATGGGTAATAGGCCAGGGGTCCCCAACTCCTGCCTGGGCCAGATTGGGCCACAGAGACAGATCTCCCACCCCCCCATGCACTCCTCCCTGCACAGCCCCTTTGTGCATGCGCATGAGTGCGCGCATGCCCTGTGAGTGCCCCCTCTGTGCACATGCATGAGTGTGTGCACCCTGAGCACCTCCACCCCTTTGCACATGCACACAAGTGTGTGTGTGCCCACACAAGCACCCCCCGCACCTTTACACATGCTCACGAGTGCGGGGAGGTTGCTCCACCTTCCCCACACACAGATCCCATCCTCCCCCAACTGGTCCACAGTGTTAAAAAGATCGGGGACCACTGTATTAGGCTATTTCTGGAGTTCAACATACTTTAGAACCTGTTTCCTGTAAGGTCCCCCCTCCCTAATTTCTGTAAACAATGGGATTCTCCCAGTAACTAGTATGTGGACTTTGCTTTTGGGATTTGGAGAATAGACTTCATTATTAGTATATCCGCGATCACTTTTTAAATAAATCCAGAGTTCTATGATCAAACTTTAAATTAAGCCCTGGTCTGAAAAGCTTGAAGACTACATGTCTTCAGCATTGCCTCTCTGTTAATTAAACTCCAGATTAAAGAAAAAGCCAAATATTTTCTGTGAACACTTCACGTGCTCATTGTTCCCACCTCTTTCACTATGTGCATAAAGACATCTTCAGAAGAAAATCAATGTTTGCTCCACTTGTAGGAGGTTTAGTTGATGTTCATACACGAGTGCTGAAGACTCCCTTGTGCCACAAACAAGGAGACTTGGAGTGAGAGCTTTCTAAATGCTTCATCTACTCCAACCAGCTAGGGAAGACAATATGACTTTCTGGAAGAAGGCACAGGATAAGAAGATTTAAAAGTAATAACATATATTCTATTAGGAGCAGGCATTGCAAGACTTATAATCCTTTGGTCATTAAAACACACAACACACACAGAAGCTTCTGCTGTGTTACTTACTGATTTGGTGAAAAGAAAAGCAATTTATTGGGACAGAGAAACACACAATTTTCAGAGCTACAACTCTGGGGTTGTTCTGAAGATCATGTGTTGTAAGAAGGCAAATTATGGTTTGAAATTGACTGTTTTAAAATATTAATGCAGTGGTTTTACTATAGACTGCAGTGTCTCAATTTTTGCTAATAACTTAAAATCTGATTGGAAACTGCTCCCATGTCAGTGAGTACAGCTACAAAATCAAAATATATTTTGAAGAAACTTCGAACTGGTTGAAGCTAGTAAAAAGTTAGAAGACTGGTTCAGTTCCACTTTCTTATTAGTCTGCAATAAGTTTTTAACATGCCCTACCACACAAGGAACACCATCTTATCAAGGGCTCAGTACAGTGGAAGAAGCCCAGCCAAATCTACCCAGTGGAACAGAGACGGAGAAATGGTAGAACTCCAAATGTCAGTGAACTGCAATTCCCAATTTGCCCCATCCAACGTCACTAAAGGACAGGGATGATAATGGATTCCTCGGTCCAACAAAATCTGAGAAACCGTACATTTCCCACTCCTGCAATTAAACATTTGAACAACTGCCCTAATGCTCCTCATCTACTGTTCCATGTAAGGAAAGTCTGTCTTAAAGAACTGATGCCTGATATAATATTTCCTAGAGCTGGAAGAAAGTGAATTTCATCAACCTGTTGTAATTCCCTGGAGACACTGGTAGCAATGATGGTGCTCTAAGGCCACTGTGATGCTGATGAAGTTTATCACATAAACTCTAAGATGTTCAAGCTAGACTCTGAATTTCTAGAATCATCCAAACAAAGCAAATGTAGCTGGACCAGACTAACTGAAAAAGGGAACACACTGAAAAGATACAAGGAGGACCAGCAATGTAATACAAAGAGTTTCAAATAAATTCAAAACACAACTACTTGATTTCAAACAGCTTTGTGTTTGTGTGTGGGAAATTGTTCACATAAATAAATCTACCTTCTTCAGGAGTAATTTTCAGATTTTATATACAGATGTATTGATTGGCATGGCTGAAGTTGGCTCAACTCATTGAAATTACAAAGATACTTTTATAGTTTCTTCAATTAAACTTGTGTTTACTGAAAACGCTCAGTTCAGTCAACAGAAAGGAACAATATGAGCACCTGCTCACAAGATTCTAGGTATGTCCCCAAACTTTTGTCAGCTTTACATCAACAGCAGATCCAGTTTAAGACTCTTTTAATACTAGAAAAATCATCATGTAACCAGCACGTTGTTAATTAGATGCAATTTGCTGCCATGAACTATGCTATTCCACTTATTCTGCAATAAAATGACAATAAGATTCTGGCCAGTGTTTATTGGCCATTGTTAAAACAAGACAAAGGGAGCAACTCACTGTTTCATTATTATCTGATTCTGCTCTCTCAGAAATAATGAACAATTATTTTCTATCAATCACAGAAAGAGCATGAATGTTATTTTTCATGCCAGGCATTTACAACTACCCCGGTTTTTTCAATCTTCCCTATTAGGTGGATACAGTATTGTGCTTTTCTTAAAAGATTAGAAGAATTAGCTATTGGGAAGAAAAAAAGGACTAATAATAAAATGCCTGTTGTACCTATACATATTCTTGGTCCAAAAGATTATGAAAAGCTGTACATAACACCTCACTATAATGTTTAATTGATACATCTGTTCATCAACTTAAAATATTCTGAACCATTACAAGAAGATCCCAAGTTAAGGCAGAGCCAATTCATTTTGCTATCTATAGTGAAAGATGAAGTGTCCCCCTCCCCATTTCCACTGACTGGACTGGCAAAGTTGGTGATAGGACACAGCACCTACAAACAGCAGTCCTGCACTTCTGGGCACTAGGGCAGGCCAAGTGGCACAAGCAGGTCTGTCCTCCCAACAGAGGAATGGCGGGGAACACAGACTGAAAAGGAACAGTAAGGAGGCAGCTACCATTACTTGTCCCCACACATTTCTCAGCATCTGTTGTCTGACAAAGTTGATGTACTCTGCCAAGGGTGGACAATTTTTAAAAAAAGTAAAAAATTTAAAAACACATACACATTTCTGAGTTGCCAGTCATTTTTCACGACATGTCCCTCTGACACAGAGGGAAATTCTTACTTCTATCACATTTGTAAATACCATTTTTGCCGGTGTATAAGACAACTCACCGTATAAGACTACACCCTCTTCCACACACCTTCCACACACCAAATAAAAGGTGCTATTCATTGTCACCATTGTACAGCCGCAGTGCAACCGCAGTGCCTTCGGCCCACCACTGCATCTCCCTGTGACTGGCACTAGTGCGCAAGCGCGCATGTGTGAGCTCTGCGTAGACAAGGGGCGGGGCGGAGCGCTGCTGCTTCCCGCTGAGCAGAACAGGCCGGTCATGTCAAAAAGGCTGGCACCCCATCCCACTGCTGATGCTCGCCGCGGCCGCGCTGGATACCGTGAGATACTGGACAGTATGTAGAATGAGGTGGGCAGGCATCGGGAGGCTACTATGGGCACCGGGCGGGCATTGGAAGGCCACTATGGGCAGCTATGTCTATCCCAACTGAAGTGCACCTGGCGTATAAGACAATCCCCCCCCCACTTGAAGGCATGTTTTTCAGGGCAAAAAAGAAGTCTTATACGCCAGCAAATACATTATAATAACTGTGTTCCATCAAGTCAATTCTGACTTGTGGAGATCCCTTTCAGGGGTTTTCCAGGTAGAGAATAGTCAGAACCTTAGAAAACGCATTACATTCTGTGCAACACAGAAAATAGGAATAATGTTTTTCTCTCCACTGTCATGGTTATAAAACATTTATAAATTTATGCAGATTTAGTCAACCAATTAAAACTTGTACACTTGACTGTGATTTAATAACGTGATAACCTCTAGCGTGAATCAGTCAGGTTGCTTGTTTCTTTTTAATTTCCTTTTCATCAAAACAATTACTAGAAGAGAAGTAGCTGGAAATTATACCAACCTGTTTCTTTTTTGGGCCTTGTGCAACAGATAATAGAGAAAAACAGGTACAGTCTCAATCTTTGTTGCGTTTAGGAAGACAGAAGCTTTTGTCTTGTTACATACTATAGCTACAAAGGAATGGCAGAGAGTTTCTCAGAAAAGGGAAAAGACAGAAGTATGTTCTTGGAAAAAAGTCACAGGCACAGTGGCCACATTTTCTGGGCATAAATGCAGCACTGAACTTGTGTATACACTAAAATGTGAACACAAACAGCTTTCCCTGACGCTAATAATTCCGTTACCAATGAGTTTTGTTTCCTCTTCTTCCTTTCCCTGAATCTCACATGTCTATTTCTATGACTGATCCTTTCACTGTGGTCACAACTCTGCCCTACCCTCAGATCCCCAAGTTGCTCCCACCAACAACCAAAAAAGATCACCATGGCCTTCCTCTTCTATTCAGCATGAGCATTAAAAATATTATATATTACTACCTAATTCAGTAGAAGGAGATGGCTGGTACATGGTGACGATAATGTTTAATGGGACCATGCAGGAATTCTTGGAAGGAAGGTGCAACTTTGGCTTTTGAAGCTAGGATAACAGGATGGATTCTAGAAATGGTCCATTTTCAAGAGTAGATTTTGATATGCTGCCAGCACTCCTATGAAAAGCAGCCATCTCAGTTTTAACAGGTAGCTACTCAATTCCACTGGGCAAAAACAAAATAGAATGGAAAACCTGAAGCATTTATTATGCTCAGCGCACATCTACACTAGCAGCACTTTTGTGAACCCACAAGGCCCAAAGAGGCAAAAGATGAAAAGGTTAAGAGGCAGGAAGAAATATAAGGATAAATTATAATTGTTCTAATTAGGTTCTTCCAATGTAGACAAACTGTCATTTCTTCATTAGATATAAGAGAAACAAATAGTGTTGCAAACTTAAGAGAACAATGTTGATTTCCCTCTTGCATATCTACACAAAAGTATGCATTGGAGCACAGACTTACCCATTCTGTAGTACAGCATCTCCTTGAAGATGTATTCCATGTACTCCTGTCTCACATCCTGATATCTCGATTCTTCCTATAGGACTGCCCAGCACCACACAGAGCTTCTTACACTGAGTTTCCACATCTTCAGAAGATGTCTGTTAAAAAGACAATCACAAGTTACACACACACACACATATGCACACACACACACACACACACACACACACACACACACACAAACACTATCCTCAAGCAGATTCTGTATTTTAAAAAACTATAGTTAATCCTTGTTCCAAACAGGAAAAAGATTCAACAGGAATATGTCTTTTGTACCATCAGAATGATTAAGAAACAATGCATTCATATTTACTTATCTTTTAATTTACATGTTGCTGGTCTGCTGTGAGCCACTCAAAGTAGCATATGCTTTGTAATTAAGCTGTAAGAATAAACAATTACTCATTCACTACAAATATAATTTCTTCAAAAATTAATGCGCAAGTAAAGGCAGGAGCTTAATAAATTAAGTGAGGTATGTTCCCAACTTGAAGGCCTTCGCTTTAAGATGAAGCCTCATTTAGAACAGTCATATCAAGGTCAAGGTCAACATCTCTGTTCTATCCAGACTAATTTTCAGTTTATTCTCTGTGATGCACTCCATTACTAATGTGACACAATCATCAGAATGGGAAAAAAACAGCCTAAAAGAAAACTATCAATGATATGAAAAGCAACAAGAAAAGGTCCAGCGGATCTTTGTCAGCCAGCATAGCTCATCATTAGAAGTGAGCAGAGGATTCCAACACAAGTCACTCCTGAAGTAGGATTACAATGGATCTAGACAGTCCATTACAATCAAAAGTGGATGCATCACCATCTGAGCTGCAAATGGCAAATTCAAATGCTTTTTCCTTGTAACGGAAACCAAAATGAGGTGTGTTCAATACTCTTGTTGCCTTTAAGACCAAAATGTGCCAATAATCTAAACCAATGGTTCTTAACCTTTTTGAAACTTGCCAATAATCTAAACCAACAAAATCAAACTCCAGAGGACACTGTATTATAGCCTCCATTTTGAAGGGTAATTCAAGTTAGAATGCAGTTAGCTCTATTGTGAAGCAAGGAGATGTTTGAATTCTAAAGAGCATGCCTAAGGATTATACAGTGGTGCCCCGCATAGCGACGTTAATCCGTCGCTATCCGGATTTGTCACTATGCGGGGGGGAAACCCCACAGGAACGCATTAAACTCTGTTTAATGTGTTCCTGTTGGGGGAAAACTCACAGGTAAGCGAAGATTCCCCCATCCGGCCGCCATTTTCGCTGCCCAGTAAGTGAGGGCAGGGGGCGAAAACGCTGTGGGTGGCCATTTTCTGCACCCGGTGGCCATTTTGGAACCGCTAATCAGCTATTTTCTAAACATCACAATGCGAAGATCGGTAAGCGAAACGCTTACCAATCATCGCAATGCGATTTTTAGCCTATCCAAACATCGCAATGCGATCGCATTAGTGATCGCAAAAAATGCATCGCTATGTGGATTCGTCGTTAAATGGTGCGTTCATTAAGCGAGGCACCACTGTATTTATAAGCTCTATGAACTGTCTTCATATTGTAAATGCACACCAATCTCGGTATTACGGTAGATAGTTGAAAAATGACTTAAGGGCACCTACAGTACATTAGACTTCAAGGATGAGCCATCATAACTAGTCCTCTGTGTAAATTACTGGGGGGGCTAAAGCCCAAACTTAACCAGGAACTACGTTTCATGGAAAGGAAGAAATAAAAGGGAAAACAGAAGAAAAGGCTACCTTATCTACTACCATACTACATCTGCTATAAACTGGATATCTCAGTGGTGTAGGCATCTGACTATTGAGCCAGAGGTTGGGAGTTTGATTCCCCTCACGGTGACTTGACAGGGACTGGACCCAATTATCCAAAGACACAGTTCTAAGATTTATTTATTTATTAAATGTATACCCCGCCCATCGCCACAATAGTAATTTATAAAAGCTACCCCTTTAGTTACAGGGATTTGAAGCAAAGGAGGAATATCGCATTACTGAAGTGCTACCTTGTGCTTAGTTGTTGTTTGAGCCAATGATGAGAACTGGAGAAGAATGAATGTGTTAACATCAGGCATACATAGCTTGCAACTCTTAAACATTTGAGGTGTTATTTTTGATCAATGACATTTTGGTTACTTTTGAGAAACTGGAAAGCAAAGAGGTCCTCTAAAAATATCACCAAAGATTATTCTGGCACCTTAAATATTATCAGGAGTTATTTGCTGTAAGCTTTTAATGACTGCAGGAATAGCACCTGATCACATGAACAGGAGTCCATGGAAGTATTATACTAAATGAAATGAAATGTAGATGTTGTTGATGATTTTATGCAGCACAAAACAAATAAAGGCTAATATCCTGTCGCTTAATGTAGCAAGTTACACTAGAGTAGGCCCACTAACTCAGTTAGTGAGACAGTTACTCCACAAATTCTGTTGATTCAAATGGGCCTACTTTAGCTGCTACTTATTTGAGGGTAGTAACTCACAAGAAAAGTAGGGCCATTTGAATAATCGGAACTTACCAAGGACTTCGTCATCAAATTCCCACTGGGCCTACTCTAATGCAATTTACTATGTTAAACAACAGGATTTCACTAATAGCATAGGGGCTCTGGATGCACTGGTGTTTAATACAAAGCTATAGTAGCCACTGAATCTTGAACTGCTTCTGCCCAGGTGGCTTCATTTAGAACTTTCAGTGTGATAATATTCAGGCAGCAATTCTCTAATGAATTCTATGCTTTTTTGTTTTAGCCGGTACCAACTACGTGCATTCAAAAGGGACAGAATCTTTTGAATGGAACAAATATAGATTCATGGATCAAAGCAATTTGTTCTGCCTCAATTGCCCTCCTCCCATGCTTTTCCTGTATAAGTACTAATTAGAAAGCAATTGGGAACAGATAGGGCCACCAAAAAACATGTCTAATGGACTTAGTTCTTCATAGTATATGTCACAAAAGCATTCCACCTTTGATAGTACATAGACTATAGTTTGTTTGTACCATACTTCTAACGAAAGTGTCTATGGGATGCCAACACATCTTTCTGGGAACAAAAGGCAGGTGGAGAATTCAAAGAAGGAAAAGGCCAACTTTGTCTTCTCCATCCCCTGCCATATCTTTATCAACCTTCCTCCATATATACTGTAGCTAGTAAAGGCGGGCCTCCCACTTATCCACTCCCAAGCTTTGTCTGGACACAAGTTGAGGTCCAAAGCAGCCGATGCTGTAGCAAACATGACCATCGTTTTTTTCTTTAAAACAATTTATACTTGGCAGCAGGGTAATAACATAATTAGCAGCCTAGCAAAATTAATTACACAGCAAAATTGATTGCATGGTAAAATGGCATAAAAAAAAAAGATATATAATCATCAAGATAACTTAGGAGGATGAAAGAAGCCAAGGCAAATAGAACTATTCCTGAGCCCCATATTTTACAATATCAGCAAGGTATCACAAAACGCAAGACTCCCAAAAGCAAGAAAAATGCAAAAGAAATTCAGGACTCATTTTCACAGGGCAAATCTCACTACGGCAGGAAGACTAGTATCCCCACTCAAACGAACATGACAAGGCTCCAAAGAACAAGCATGTGCTTCTAATAAATATGGCAATTAAACACACCCAATGGATGATCCAAAGGGGAGTTGCCCAGTTGGCTGTAAACTTCTAACAATACCCTCCAATACCCTCCAGTTTATTAAACTGTGCAAAGATTTCAGAAACTGTGGAATAAATCTTCACAATCCTGGCTTCCATTCCAGTAGTAAAGATTTCTACCTTGGAAAGAAACTAGAGGTTTGCATAACTGGATTTCACAGCAATTACACAACAGCCAATATTTTGAACACTGAAATGATTAAATGGAAGTGTGGCATACCCTTAAGGGCATTTCTCTTGGCTTCACACACAGCAGAAATTACAAAGCCAGTGTGACATGCCCAAGGTCTGGTGGAAACTGCATTCAAATGCCAATCCGTTGCCTGACAAAAAGGGTGATCCTCATCACATGAAGCCTTTAAGATCAAGCCTAATTCTGACTGAATTTACCGGAAGCTACGGAAATGGTTGATTTTAATTGGGCACAGAAAAGAAATTGATTTTCATGGCTATTTGCAGATCAATTGAAAAAATGAAATGAATTTTGTTTCATCCTCCCTTTTAACCTGAATAGGTATTTAAATAATAATGATTTAAATATGAGGATTTCTCTATGCTAACAGCAGAAGCAGTAAAGCCTGCTCTGTGGTAGTCATAAATCAACCTCTTGCACTGCATACTTATATTAAAAAAAATTGGCATTAATTCTTGTCAGCATCACAATTCAATTTAGTCTATTGAAAATCAGACTTGTCTAGAGCCAATGATGTCACACACAAACCTGAGGGGAAGCATCATGATATGGCATCATCCAGAGGTCACATCTGGAAGTCCTCAGGTTGGAAAAAATAGAAGAGATCTTCTGGATTTCAGACAACCAGGCTAAAATCTCAAATCACTCTCAGTTCTTCCTTACAGAATTTTTGTGATAAGAGGATGACAACTGATGTTACTATATTTTGCACACCATGAATTTTAAATACTATTTTAAACGATCATAGAAGGGTGCCTGATAGCATTTGCTCTACCTCCATCTTGATTTTGGTTTCTCAAACATTTTGAGCCTTAGCCCCTGCCAAAAATATTCTTTCTTCTCTGCTATTCCACTCCGCATACTAATCATCTGTTCTACATCGCATACTAATCATCTGTTCATCATGCAAGTGCTCACTGGAAGGACAGATCCTGAAGCGCCAATACTTTGGCCATCTGATGAGGAGAGAAGACTCCCTGGAAAAGACTCTGATGTTAGGAAAGTGTGAAAGCAAGAGGAGAAGGGGACAACAGAGGACGAGAAGGCTGGACATTGTCATCGAAGGTACCAACATGAATTTGACTAAGGTACCAACATGAATTTTACCCAACTCCGGGAGGCAGTGGAAGACAGGAGGGCCTGGCGTGCTCTGGTCCATGGGGTCGGACACGACTTAATGATTAAACAACAAAAACAACAAAGTGCATCACAGAGTGTTGCTATGTACAAGTACAGTGGTGCCCTGCAAGACGATTGCATTAAAGAACAAAAACAAGAAAGTGCATCACAGAGTGTTACTATGTACAAGTACAGTGGTGCCCCGCAAGACGATTGCCTCACCAGACGAAAAACTCACTAAATGGGTCCGGCAAGGGTTTTGCTGCCTCACAAGGCGATTTTTCCTATGGCCCTGTTTCGCAAGCCCAAGCCCCAGGAGGCTTCTGAAAGCAGTGCTTTGCTGAGGGGGCGGTGTGTGTGTGCTCTTCTTCGCTCCCACCCACCCCTTGTCACGTTCCCGGGGGTTACAACAGCAGAATCCAATAAGCCAGTCCTATGTCAGAAATTCAAAGAATGCAAAGCCGATATCCAAATACCAAAGCCAACTCACACAACGTAGTCCAGGGTCAGAGTCCAAAGCCAAGGGTCCAGAGAACAAGGTTCAAGGTTGTTAGCAGCGTGGATGCAAGCCAGAGCTTTGACTTGTTGCTTCCACGGACTTTCACCCGTCTGAGAGCTGTTTATATGGTAAAACAGTCCTTGAACTGCTGGAAGCCTTTTCATCTTGTCAGAACTCAGGGCTAGTTGATTGGATGTTTCTGCGGGCAGCCTTCAAGCGATCTTCTGACCTTTTTGTCATAAATCTTCCCCAAATTTGGCCCTCAGCCTGTCTACTGGGGGAGGAGAATCTCAAGTTGATTCAGGTGTTTGTATTTCTAATTGCTCAGCATTCTCCTCAGCTACAGTTAATCCTTCAGGTTCTGGATCTTCGGCTGCACTCATGACATCCCTCCCCTCCTCACAGCTGATCAGTGCAGGGTGTCAGAGGTTTCTCCGGGCTTTCCCAGCAGGTAAACAGGCAGTGGAAATGCACCCGAGGAAGCCGCTGAAAGTGGCACTTGGCCGGGGGGTGGGTGGGCCCGCCACACACACACCCGCGGCAAAGCGCTGCTTTCAGGAGCCTCCCGGGGCTTTTTCAGCAGTGGAAAAGCACCCGGGAGACTTCTGAAAGCAGTGCTTTGCAGTGGAGGGGGTGCAGAGGGGCACGGGGGAGGCGGGCCTGCCCCAACCTTTCTGGGACCACGGACCAGCTGAGCCTCTGAGGAAGGCAGGGCACCCCCCATGCCCACGCAGGTGGAACACTCTCAGGCACATGTACGAAGCAGTGGGGGAGCATGTGCTGACCAGTGCAAGTGCTCCTCCACCCCTTCACGCATGCACAGGAGTGCATGCATACCTGCCCACCCACCCCTTCGCACAGGTTGTTTACTTGTAACTGTAATTCTTTGAGTGGTCATTGCTGAATTCACACATATGGACCTTGTTCTACCTCTACAGTAACATCATTAGAATCTTCTAGAACCTGAAAATGTGTTAAGACTCCAAAGACAGTCCTTAGTCCCTCCACTGATTCAGAAACAATAGTTGTGTTACAGACTGAGGGGAAGATAGGTGGATCATGTGAATTCACAGATGGCAACTTGAAGAATTACAGTTACAGGTAAGCAACCTTTCCTCCTGCCTCATGATCTCTGTGAAATCACACATATGGGTGATTGGCAAGCTCATGAGCTGACAGGATGCTGTACCAATACAGAGATCACCGCTCTGCCAAATGCAGCATCAAGCTTAGCCTGAACATACAGCTTGACAAATGTCGAAGACTTTGGCCAGGTTGCTACCTTGCAAATTTCCCTCAGCTGAGCTCCTCCAAGCAATGCCATGGATGCAACTGCTCTAACAGAGTGTCATTTCGGAGAATTAGGGAGTGGCTTCTTTCCTAATCAGTAGCATAAAGTCACTGTGCTAAACATCCACTCAGACTGAGGTGTGACTTGGTGACCCTTCTTTGGCCCTTGATGACTAACAAAGAGTCTATTGGATTTACAGAAATCCTCTGTTCTAGAAATATAGGTTTCTTTTTCATTTTTCTACAACTATGTTGCTGGTTTTGAAGACCTGGAGGAGGATGGTTTGTCCTCAGTTTCAAGGTTCAGAGTCAGAGTTTGCGGGCTAGGGTTAGAGATGCAGATGGCTCACTATTTTGGCGAGTCTTCATGCTTCATTAGTCGTCAAAAGTTGACTACTCACAAAGCACGAAGTTGCCCCCATGAACCAATGAATGAAAAATTTGTCGATTTTGTGGGGGGTAATAAAAATACACACATCTGCCCCACCGCTGACACCGCCCCACAGTTGTCACCTCCCACTGCTATGCCACTGCCACCACCACCCCGCCACCCCCTTACCGTAATCGTCACCGCTGCTGCTGAGGTCTCCATCAGGCCTTCTGCCCCCCCGCTGACACCGCCCTACAGTTGTCACCTCCCACTGCTATGCCACTGCCACCACCACCCCGCCACCCCCTTACCGTAATCGTCACCGCTGCTGCTGAGGTCTCCATCAGGCCTCCGCAGCCACAGCCCATAGAC